AGTATATAGTGGACATCCTGAAATGAAGGTGTAATGCACTGCAGAGGGCCCCATTTTTAAAGGCAGTTTTAGTCAAAATAGGGGAAGTGTGACAATGGTATCATGGGGATTCCATGCTTATTGAGTTTCAGCTGTTGGAAGAGAACTCTTTTTCAGTTAACAGAACTCAGAATGCTCTCCCATAACAGAGAGAAAAATAAATCTTTGTCTACACATCTATAATTTTGGAAGGGAATCAGCAGTGATGTGTATTTCCATCATCTAGACAGACAGTTGTGTGGGCTCTGCACAGCTAAAAGGAATAAAAGCTGATTTATAGTAGTAAAATTTGCATATGTAACTTGAAAACGCATAGGAACTGATGGTGAATTGTAAGACAATATAATTTTTGCATTCATTTTTTACACCATAATTGCACTTAAATTTGTATGCTGGAGAATGAGTCTTTCACTGTGATGCATTAAAAAAGGCTGCCATGGGGCACTATTAATGCTGTATTCCATTTTGAGCTAGATGCCTGCATACACCACTTAATTGAACTGTTAGTGGAGGTATAACAATAAAATATATGTTTACACAAATTATTACAGAGGAGAGGAATGCTAGGAAAGCATCACCTGGTTTAAAAGTTTAATCCCCTAAGGAATTTAATAAATGACTAGCATAGGAACAAATTGTTCCTATATGGGAAATACCCACAAAGGGTCAAGGAAACTCTGACTTTCAGTTTGAAGTTTCCTGCAGATCAGTCCATCAGGTATGGATGGGAGGGTTGTCCCCCAATTCCAGAGTAGGTGAAGCCAGAGCCTCCACACACCCAGGAATAGCCACAAGATCTGTGGTGAAACCCCACAGATTTTACAACACTTGTGGAGAAGAGGGGCAGTCACATACAGCCCACTGCACTCTTCCGTGGGGTCTTTCCCCTTCTTTCCCGGAGTAGTATAGCTCACACTGGAGCCCTCAGTCCAGGCAGACATTCTGTTGCTGGGAGTCTGCAGCATGGGTTTCACTGGCAGATGCAAGTGGAAATATACAGTGAATTGAACCCTTCAACTAAAATCAAATAGAAACATTGGGGATAGTTTATAGGGAGACAGTTACTTGGGGGGGAGGGGAATTGCTCAGTGGAGTCACTCCTTAATATGAAAATTTCATTGTATTATTATTAACAACCTCAAGGGATGAAAAAACAGGAAATTAAGTGATGTGTCAGTAGCTACATAAGATTAAAGTCACCCCATTACACAGGGCCTCTAGTAGTGGTCCTGCACCGCAGTGAATTTCAGCCAGAGTTCATCTATGGCTGGTGAAGTATAATACACACACTTACTTTGGTTCAATTATTTCACCTTGACCCATGCATCTCAACTCAAGTGGATGAAGGCGAAGGGAAAGGTAGAATACAAATTTTGAAGTTTAGATTGCACATTTTGCTCAGATGTTAAAGAAAATTTTTTAAGTTGTCTATCCAGTGCTGCAGACATACACTACATACCGCCAGCAAAGAGGCGCTTGTGTGGGCTGATGTAAGTGCCTCCTCACATTTCATAGAAACTAATGCAATGCATTAAAATAGCCTGGCCCCTGAATGTGCACTGCAGGTCAGCAGTGAAGAGATTTTAAAACAGATTCCCTCTGACGTTGTGTTTGCAAGATCTGAGTATCACTGGGAGATAAACCCATTTGCAACAGCTGCATACAGCTATTTAAGTTCAGGTCATGAACAGCTTAATTGGTGAAACAGTCAAAGATATGGTCATCAGGCTCAGCAGACAGGCCCAGTACTCAGCTTATACAGAAGCTAAACTATCCATTCACCTGTAGAGATGATCCCGTCAGAACAGTGTTGAGGCACATTGTTGGAGAATGGTGTGAGGGAAGCATGCTCTTCTGCTTCTCCTTGGATAGCTGTTTTGTGGACAAACTGCTTTAATCTCCAGGCCTGTGAAAATCTGCCACCTTTCATGAGTATTAAAATTAGGACCTGAATTTCAGAGATGCTGAGCAGGTACGACTCCATTTGAAGTCAAAGGGAGTTGCAGGTCTCAGCACCTTGAAAAATCAAGCCCTTAACTTTTTAGGAAAATTACAGAGATGCGTAATCCTGGGACCAAATTCATCCTTAGTGTAACTTAATAGAGTTGCACCAGGAATTAATTTGATCTCACACACATTAAGGCATCACGCTAGTATTCAGGATCATAAGGACACCCACCCACATCCAAATACAAACAAAGCAACCCACTCCATGGATGTGCAAACAGAACTGCTCTCTTCTCACATGTGCAACTGAAGTCAACTGAGTATCATCAATTAGTTTGTTTCATTATTTTTTTTAACTGGTACATAAGTATTTATAATGCATCAATCGCAATGGTGTCTAGGTACTAAATACATGTCTTAAGCTTCAGGACACATCTATATTCTCTACTCTATGGCATTCTAGTTCTGTGGGTTGTCAGTTTCTTAGGGCTTTCCTACATGTGTTTTTTGTACTTCTGTAACTGTATTGGTTTCAAACTGGTATAGTTAAAGCAATACAAGCCCCTTACGTGGATGCAGTTATATCTGCATAAAAGCTTTTGCACCAGCATATCGTATTCCTATAAATCTGTGGGATTAATCAATTCTAGGATAAACATCTTTATACTTGTATAACAGCATCCACATTTGGGGTTGCACCAATTTAACCATATCAGTATAAAAATCTCACCCCTAGTTAAATCAGTTCAAAAACTGTTTGTAGACCAGGCCTCAGGGGGGACTGTTTTGCAGGAGGGGAGGAAAAGAGAGAGTTCAGTGTCATCACCTAAGCAAAGGAAAGCCTATTGCAAACAGTTGAGTCTTGTGCTCTAAAGGAGGTAAAACAGGAGCTGATTTTAACCTGCTTCAGCAGAGCTCCAAGCCACAACCGTTGTCTTCTTCTCCAGCAACCTTTGTCCCTGGGCACCAACAGCTTAGTTATAGCTGTTGAAAATAATATTATGAGAGAGGCGCAGAGGAAGATACATTCTGGCCCTAAGAAATTGAGGGCTTTGAAGGGGAAGACCTTAAACTGGATTAGATACTGATGCTTTGTAGCACTGAGTTCAAACGCTCTGGAGGCATCATGACAGAGAAGACCAAGGGATCTCCAGTAGATTGAAGCAGTAGTAGCAGTTGTAATCAGTGTGGAAACTCCTCCAGGAACCCCCAGCAGGTGGCAGCAGCTGTGGAAGAGGGCCCACACCTGCCAGAGAATAGGAAGCTGCCATCAGCCGTGGGCCTGTCCAGCTCCAAGCAATTCCCACACTACCAGGAGTTCATTCAGAAGAGTAGCAAACCAGCAAGATGGACAGGAAAGAGGAGGAGGAAAAGGGACTAACTAAAAGGAAAATTATTACACAAGGTAGGGAACTGGGAGGCAGGAGAAAGAAAGAGCTGGGGGGAAGTAGGCAAAGATCCTAGAATTTGGGTCGAGGTGCTGAATCCATGGAGGATCCAGGCTCCACTTCAGTCAACCTGCTCCTGGAGCACTGCAACTTTTTACCACCACCACTATACAACAGCCTGGGAAGGGAAATTAATTCTTTATCTAAATGAATCTACAGGGGCAGGTGAGATAGGAGGAACATAATTACCTTAGTTTAAATCTGGCCATGACACTGGGGTTATAAAAACGCTGCTCTTGGAGAAAGTATAATAGAATATTTGATGACAAGTGATTAGGACCTTCATTTTAGGTTTCATCCAAAAGATAATTCAATGTATGTCCTCTTTAAATTAGATAATGAAGGTTAATAAAGAAAGGGAAATAATATATCAAAAACTAAGAAAGTGGTACAGGCAAAATATAGGGTATCAGGTAGCTAGTGAGTTCCTTACATTGATCAAAACAGCAACTTCTGTGACTAAGATATGGGTGGCCTCTGAAGACAGACTTTTCCAGTCTTCTTTTGCCAGAAAGATGGAAGCCCTTCTCAAGGGCTGTGAAGATAGCACGGGTGTTAAGTAAAATTGGGATGGATTTTTAGGGCTTTGACAGGAAGGAGGGGGACTCATTTAAAAAAATGTCTAGGGAAGGGATAGCGTGGTGGTTGTGAGAAGACATGGTAGACAACTAATATACTGCACTGTTCCAAACACTCAGTTTTAATAATTACCTTGAAATGCAGAGAAAAGGCAGTCAGACATATAGAAGACTAGAGCATCTTAGATGATTTGGTTTCATTTTTAGTTTGTGAGAATTTGTTTATTCTTTCTGGGGTGACAGGTATTTTTCAGCTGGTGGAAATAGAGTTTTCATGTCAGATCAAGTTACTAAAAAAATTGTGGGGGAGGGGAGTTTATCTTTCATGAGGAATTCATTCAGCTTTTCACACTATACAAATAAAATGTATTTTTAGATATTCAAAAAAGTTGGAGAAGTTTGGTCATAGAAAAACAGCAGTGTAAATGGTATTTTAACAAAACAGAGCAAGTTCATTCCTTGAGTAACTGCACTGAAGTCATCTTTGTTGCTGGTCTTTAAACCCCTTCTGTTTCTGTTCTATCCTCATTTAGACAGGGTGACCAGAACTGACCACGGTATTCCAGGTCTGGGCATACAAAATAATATTTTCACTACATTAAAGGAGCACTCTCCCATAGTGAAAATCTTAAAGCCATCCTTGTTGGTATACTGTGTTTTTTGTTTGGTTGGAGTGCTTTTTTATTTTTTTATTTTTGTTTTAAGTGTTTCCAATCTCTCCCTAGAATTATATCTTTCTAAATTCCACCTTCCTGGAGGAAATTCAAGCAGGAGGTGGGGTGCTCCTGGCAGATCTCCAATAGAGCTTCAGAGTGTATAGGAAGTTCCCTGCACATATTATATAAATATACAATAAATGACAGACAGTAATCTTTCTTCCTTTCCTTCACAGGGTTCTACAGCATGCCTTCGTCACTCTAGATACTTGCTATTAATCTGCTTATGAGCTTCCCCAACCTACGCTTCTTTTTCCAACGCTGATCTGACCATGGCTGTCCTAAAAGTAAAATTCACAAAAACTAAGAGAGACAAATTGGCTCAGATCCTGTGGATCCTCAACTGGGTTTCTGTAGCAACTGGTGTCATTCTCTTCAGCTTGGGTCTCTTTCTGAAAATAGAGATCAAGAAGCGCAGTGAGGTAATGGCAAAAGGGGAGATTAACTCTGTCCCCAACATGCTCATCTCAGTAGGGGTCATAGCTTGCATCATCAACTTCCTTGGTGGCAAAATCTGCTATGACTGTTCGGACACCAACAAGTTCTCCCGATGGAGGCTAGTCATGCTCCCTTACATTGTGTGCACCTTCTGCTTCACCTTCTGCATCCTGGTGGGTGCTGTCATGTGCTACACCATGAGGAATGAGTTGGAGGAGTCTCTTTATCTGGGATTGAGAGATGCTATTAAATTCTACAAGGACACAGACATCCCTGGACGGTGCTTCTTAAAGAAAACCATAGACCTATTACAAATTGGCTTCCAGTGCTGTGGAAACAATGGCTTCAGAGACTGGTTTGAAATTCAGTGGATATCTGTTCGTTATCTGAATATGGCCTCCAAAGAGGTTTTGAAGTAAGTATTCATTGGTCATGATAGAAAGTTAGAGAAGGAACAAATCTTACCCCCACCCCCAAAAACCCCAGTCAAAAAGAATTTGCATTGAGCAAAAGGTAGAGGCATATTAGACAAGCAATATGCGAGGATAAGCACTGAAGGGTGGGGAAAGCAGGGCAAAGCTGGTTGTTGCACCTGCATTTGAAGATCAAACTCCAGTAGTTAGGGTTAGGACATTTTGGGAGTGAGGGAAAGAAGAATTCTTCCAAAGATCACATTGATCAATTCTGGTGGTGTGTCCCTCTCAAGGAAAGGAAGTACTTCTGTGATCAGATCAGCACAGAGATGTAACATAACACATGCAGAGTCTGCATAATGCATCTGATGGTATCAGCCAAGTAGACAATGACAGTAATAGCACTTTGTTTCGGCCACATGGTCACCCTAAGAACAAGGATGAACATAAGCTTAGTGTGGTAGCACTTAAGGGCACTATCTTGCTCACAGAGTTTTGATGGATTTATAAAGGGAGCAGAAACAAGCCCTAAGTCCCCTGGATGTCTGTCTTTGAATAAGAGCTGTAGAGTCAAATCTGGAATGATCATTCTAACAACAAAATGTGTTAACTATGTGGATGATTAAAAAGTTGCCTTTTAAAAAAAAGTTTTTGGTATATTACACAATGCACTGAAATGTTCACTCCCTCTGTCAGGTGGCAAGTCAGCTACCTGGAGCAGTCTGCTCGTGAGTTTTCTGGAAGTGAAGGAAAACCATTGATTGTGCTGCCACCACATTGTCTGGTCATCTTTAATTGCATTTTAAAAAAATTGAAAGCTCTTCCTTCACATACACGACTCCACAAATCTAAGTTCAAGGCTCATTGCGCTTCCACCCTGGAGAGTTAATGACATTGCACACGCCATATACATTACATAAAAAGATGGGGGACGGAGGGAAACTCAGGAGAAAAGTTGTATGTGTTGGTGCTAGTTTCCCATGAAAATCATGAAGAGTGAAGTGGTGCACTAAGAAGACCGCAGTAATTCTTTCTTAGATAACATAAAAAGTAACAATCAGAATGTTAAAGAAGCACCTGACAAAGTAGTGTGTGATAATTCTTGAAAAGGTTTTAAAAAATCTTCACTAAGGAGATTTGTGTAGCTGTGTAACCTCTGAGAGCTAACCACATTAATGATAATTCCAACAGGAAATGAAGTTTGAAGACATGTATCAAGACAGAAAGATCAGAGCTGCAGCTAGACACAGGAAGTTTTATCTTTTCCCCTCCCCATTTCATTTTCCAGAAATCTAGAAAGTCTGCATAAGAACCCGGAGGGGAAAATCTGCTTTTCTCATCTTCCTGTCTTCTTACAAGTCATCAAACTGTTACTTTGGCTGCTTCCTGCTTTATTATGTATATTTAATTATTTTATATATGACTCTTCAAAGAAATAAACAAGTTATGCTTTTCACTGTATCAAGCAAATCAACATTATTTGCAGTTTTTCTTTAATACACAAGCAGCATGAAGAGAAAAATGTGTTGTGAGATACCCGCATGGTTGGTGGGGAGAGAGCAGGACTCTGATGAAAAAACTAAGAAAGGTTAGCCAAGGCTGTGCAAATGTTATTGAAACCTGCCTCATTTCAGCTTTCATATCAAGCTCAGAATGTGGGCCAGGCTTGTCAAAAGATTTGAAAACCTCTCAGGAAAACCTCAGCCCAAGATCTGAGCAAGTCTGGACTGATTGGCGGGTTGATGTCAAAGCTACTCAAAACACACAACTTTTGATCATTTCAACATGAAGCTAAGGAAAACAATACACTTCAATTGGATTGGAGTGAGTTTTTGGCTATGTTTGAACTCAAGATTCAGTGGGCATGAACCCAGGTGATGTGAAACCAAAGATCCAGTTTGTATAAAGCTTGGAAATTGAAATTGCAGTTATTACTACTAAGCATTTACATAGTGCTGGAGGTTTACCAAGGTCTTCAGAGAGCATATGTAAAGCACACACCTCCTGGGTGTGGTATTCTGTCCCATCTAGTGGCACCGAGACCACTTAGAGAGAGATTAATGAGTCTGCTCTGTAGCCTTAACTACAAGCCATATGGCTTTTAGCTCATACAGTCGAGGCTCATGCACAAAGCTCCAGAGGTCCTAGGTTAGATTTTGCCCGCCGATGACCAGGGTCTCACGGTGTTACACATAGATAAGACATCTTTCCTGCCCAGAGCTGTTTACCATGTAAATAAAATAAGGCTTAGGATAACTGCGTAGGAGAAGGAGTGTGGGGGAAGTATTGACAAGAGAGGGCAGATTGATTGAAGAGGTGTTTTAAAGCATGGTTCTACTTTGAAAAGTGATATAACTGTTATACTCAGCAGATCGGCTCTCCATAGGCGCTCCCAACAATATCAGCTGACCTTTGGAGATAAAAGTAAAATGAATTGCTTTTTCATTCCTGTCAGTCCTGCAGAAAAAATGCTGTTCTGTGTCACATCTCATCAAGAAAATATTTGCTTATACGGCACCATTAATGCACATGGTGCACTGTTTAGATAAATGAAACAATGTCCCTGCTCTGTAGAGCCTCCAATCTACATTAAACCACACTAGGATAAGAAATGGTAACAAACGCTGGAAGTTGTAGAAGGGGGACAAAGGTGCTATCAACAAGATCATGTGATTGCTTTGGTTAGTTACAAGCACATCCTTGGAGTGTAAAAGTAAACAGGGTTACCTGTTTTTGTTCACCATAAAAATGCCTGCTGCAAGAACCCCTGTAATTTGATTACACTAAATTAAGGTAGTAAATTCTAATGAGCATCTCCCCACGTTGCCCAGTCTTCTTACCCATAACATTTCTGCCACTGGTACAGCAGTAGCAAATTCCAACATTAACTGTCAGAATTTGCTATTTGCCATCACTGAGGGAAATACTATGGCAATGGGGAGACACCCATAAGATTTTTGAACCTTCTGTTACAGATATTAGAAATAGAGTACCCTTCTCACCACAGCTACTTGGAGTGAGCAACAAGGAAATGAAAAAAAAAATGGCTGGGAATAAAAGAATGCTTAGGGCCCCAGAAAATGAGTGAGTTTTAACAATCACCATGTAGCTAATGGAGTCATGTCATTGACATACAGGGGCCATTATTCTGTCATTTTAGAGTTGGGGCGGGGGACATTGGGAGTATGGATCATGAGTAAAGGGGAACTACAGGCCAAGGTAGGAATTTTTTACTTCCCCATTTGATCTGCCCACCCTCTCCTTTCCCCTCCACTACAGTTTCTTTCCTGGCCTCAGTTCCGTGTCTCTTTGGTTCACCTTCCTGTTCTCCTGACAATTTGTTGTTCTGACACTTACACTAGTTATACTCTATGCACTTTCAGGCATGATGAGGTTCTTTTATCTCCGATTCATTCTGCTGCCATTAGCAGGAGTAGAATAGCTCAGAGAATCAGAGCAGCAAAATTAAGGTAGAGACTCTACAAGACAGAGGAGTTCATGCTTACCTTATTCCTGTAGCTGATAAAGCAGGTAACCTCCCTGAGATTTGGTGGTAGCTCACTGAGGGATAAAATTTTGACAGGATGTTAAACAAGTAACTTTATAGCTGTATACATGAACGTCCCCTCTCTTTATTTTGCTAGTGGTCCTGTTAGAAATACTGAATAAGGATTTCTAACAGGACCACTAGCAAAATAAAGAGAGGGGACGTTCATGTATAGTAAATGGTCAGGGAATACATGTCATTCCAGCCATGTCAGATGGATACAATGTTCAACAGTCAATAAGCAATCTCTCATGGTTACTGTGGCTCACATTTGTTCCTGTATTGGCTGACGTTTTATAGACATTTTTGTGTTACAAAAAACACTAGAGAAGCAGAGATGCTAGCAAAACACAGCATTATAATGCTCTGTCCTGCACTAGAATTGCACCAAGAAAACCAAATTATAGTTTTTGCTTTTTTAATATTCTCAGTGCAGGTGTCTAGAAAGATTCTCCATATCATCATTGAATCCACTCCCTGCAAATGCAGGACACAGCCCCTCACCAGAGGTCATAATTAACATAGAACTGATACTACACTTGAGGAAACACTTTAGCAGAAATTTTTCCTTTCCACATTGAACAGCCTGGCATATTGGGGAAATGTATTCTCATTCTCCCTATTCCACCTTTGAAAGGTCTGCAGCTATCCACAGTTAGGACGTAGCTTCTAAACAACAGCAGCAGAAATTGCCAATGTATCGATTGCTGCTACTACCAGCTCTATAATACCTTTACTTTCCATCTTGTTGCAGCCGTCTGAAAAGTAATGTTGATGGGAAGTTCTTGGTGGATGGAGTGCCCTTCAGTTGCTGCAATCCAAATTCACCACGGCCTTGTATCCAATACCAGCTTACAAATAACACCGCTCACTATAATTATGATTTTCTGATGGAGGAGCTCAATATCTGGATGAAGGGATGCAGGCAGGCCCTGCTGGATTACTACACTGGTATCATGAGGTCAATTGGGCTTACTGTGCTCATCGTCTGGTTGTTTGAGGTAAGGATTGAGGTGGTGGTTTGTGAGAGATTCCTATATCGGAACTGGGAGGTGAACACTTCCAGGCTGCCTGACCTCTGGAAATAGGAATGGGAATGACTAGAGTGTAATGTGCAAGAGGCACATCTGCAATCATCCAGTGACTTGGTCAGCTAATGTCTCCAATACAATTCCAGAAACACTTTCTTGAGTACAGGCAGTTTTCTCAAAGTCCATAAAAGGATAAGCAAATCTCCCAGAAAATTATAACTACAAGAAATCATGTATATAGCACTGTAAATGTATAAACAGATTAAGACATTCCTTGCCCTGAAGAGTTTACAATCTGAGACAAACAGGACAAGACACTGGATAGCAGATTAGGTGAGGAAGGTGTAAGTATTACAGATGGGGAAAAAAAGAGAAAAAATGGCTTGAAAAAGTGAATTTTAAGAAGGAATCTGAGGAAAGAGAGGGAGACTAAAATAAACTGTTAATTTTATCTATGAATCAAACTTTGGATTAATATCAGTATCTCACAGTGCCCTGCTGGGGGTTATCATACAGCTAGAAAATACCATTATGGAACACATGTTCAGCTGCAGCCTCCAGATCTGCAACCAAAATAGCCATGTAGACAAACTGTTTGCATCTGCAAAAATGCATTCATGCTGTTGTGGGCTGCAGAGAAAACTGACTGAAGCTTTGATCCACATTCAAAGGAGCCCAATGGCAGAGATTAAAAAGCAGTTTTCATCCCTCTTTAACAGTACTTTGATATTTCTGATTGTAACTTTATTCTATAAGCATTAAACATTTTGTTTTAAAACATTATACAGAAACAATTTTCAGATCAGACAGATTCTTGCATCTTCACTAAAATACATTCATGCAATATGTATTTATGTTCTGGGGAAGGATCTGCCACTGAAAATTTCACTATGCATTTTAAAGGTGCCAGAAATCATCAGTACTGCTCTTCCTGCCAAACCAGCACTCATTTGCCTTTTAAACAGCCACCACCTCATTCCAATGTACCTTTGGAAACTTTGAAAAATTCAGTCTCTGGAATCCACTAGGAAAACTACCCTCCAGGTTGTCATTGATCTATGGGGGTGGGAAGCTTTTTCCCCTAAGATTAGACTTTAGCCTACACTGTAGGCTATCTCCTTTCAATTCCTACATTGAAATGTAGGTACATGACTGAATCCTGAATGATGAAAGCTCATTGAATAAAACTGGGTCTCCATGGATGCGACTGACAAAATTACCATTTACTGAGAGGAATCACAGGCCTCAAACCCAGGCCCATGGGTCTCCAGTCCACAACTGCCTCCCAGTGGCTCATAAGAGTAACTACGGAAAGATCCAGTGAAGCATTAGCTGATAGAGGGCCCTGCCCCCAAAGCTCCTGAGAGGGGGAACATCCAGCCCCCCAACTGGCTGAGGGACTCTATATAAACCAGGAAGTAACAACAGGAAGTTGTCAGGAGTGGTTCTCAACCTGCAATCTGTTTGCAGCCTAATCTTAGGATTACCACCTTTTTAATTGCTGGAAACCAGACACCTGAGGCCCCACCTCTTCCTCCTAAGGCCCACAATGGTAAATTGGTTGAGAACCACTTAACTAGAGGAATCCCTGGCTGGCTGCTACTATGGACCCCTCCTGCTTACCTGACTCCTGAGCCCTGCATTTCTGCCTGATCCCAGTTCCTGTTTCCCCACCTGCTCCTGGTTCCGGTCTTCCTATCCCAGACTCCTGTTCACTCCTAGTTCCTGCTATATTCCAGGTCCCTGCTCCCCTGCCTCCCACTAGGCGTGACTCAGCCGCAACCACTAGGTCTAACTGCCCACGCCCCACTCACTGCATTTACTTCATTTGGTCCAGGATTTCACCCCTCATGCCTAATGGTGCCAGTAAGTAATGGTAGCATTTCAGGCTGAAGTACTCAAAAGAAATTCTGTCCTATCCTTTGCTGTAGTGAGAATTCTAACTAAAGTACAGGGGTTTAATAAAACTCTCTATGGTGGTATTCTCTCTAACACTTTCAGGAGACTTGTTAGATCTATTACTGGATCTCATCAGTTCTACCCAATACTAATAATCACACTAATGTCTAAAGGACACAGCCAGTTGTCACCAGTGGAATTCAGGCTGTAATATGCACTCCATAGTTAACTATTATCCTTTTCTTACAGATCTCTGTACTTATTGGGGTCCGTTACCTGCAAACGGCAATGAAGAATGTTCTCCTATTGGGTGATCCAGAGTGTGAGTCAGATGGCTGGTTACTGGAGAACAGCTTTGTAGAAACTGCCAAATACAACTTCAGCATCATTAAGAACCTTGGCAAAGCCAATCAGATCTCTACTGTCTCAGAGACGAATGATCCCAATATGGATGTTCAAACTGCAAACTATGGTCCAGACAATGTTCCATCAAAATCCATCCCCAAAGCTAGCTAGACATGACAGATGCTTTACTGAAGACGTAAATATGGTTTGATACCTTAACTGCAATCCTGAAGTTACCAGATTTTTCACTGGTGGGGACAAAATGGGAACACTAACTGGGTAATTGGACAAATCACAGCGTGGTGGCGGCAAGTCCAAAAGCTGAGACTCCTTGGGCTGGGTATAGCTTCTGTACGCCAGAGTTCCTGTCCTTCTGGCTTCTTTACTCACTCTTGTGAAAGCCCTGCTTTTTAATACTGCATAAAATGATATGGCATGGATTAATAGAGTTTTTCCCCATCTCTCACTGCATACCCTGCCCCACATATTCCTCACGTGGTCTGAAAAACATGAAAATCAGAGCGAAGACTATATAGCAGAGGAGAGTCAGAATGGACACCTATGAAGGAGCTACTATTTCAGTCTTTCTACATTTGAATTATAAAGTTCTTTAAGAAATGACAAACTATCATCAAATGAAAGTGCTGCTACAATAAAATCCAAGTGACCCTGCTAAATTTGGACAAATTCCCAGCATATTACTGAGCTTCAAAGGAAATTTATTAGCCAACTGCAATCAAGTTGAAATGGTAGAGTAAGAAAATGCAAGTTAATTTTACATAATTTTTTTTTAAAAACCCTGAAATCTGTCTTCAACTATGACTGTTCTTTCTCACACTTTAGTCTTTCAAAAGTCAATGGAAGTTGCAAGAAGAAATCCCATTCAATGAAATTTTATACAGGAAATAAACTGGAAGCTTAATGCTAAGAATATTAAAATGTTGAAATTAGAGTTGTACCAACGAACAAAACACACTAACAGAAAGCAAACAGCACTTCTCATAAACAGATGTATTATAGAATAAGATATAATCCCTTCTTCCTGCCTCCAACCCCCCAAAAATCCCCTACTCTGTCCAAATAACTGCTACAGATTCGGGAGGTGAAATATTGGAGATTTGGGCCCAGTGAAGACAGAATGGCACTCTCTTTCCCATTCTGTCACTTTCCTAGATGACCAGCCTAGTCCTTTGAATGTTGGTGTGAGGTTCATCAATAGCATGACAATATATTGTACACATCACATACTAAGCTGATTAATATGTAGCTAAAGATACAGAACAGGCCAAATAAAACATTTTTACTTCATACTTTTTTTGTTAACTTATTTGTTGGAATTTGTCTTTGGGCACCTCATACATTTCATTTAAATAACCAAATACAATAAAGAAACAATTTTCTGTATCTCCCTGCTGCCAAAACAGAGCCATGCATCCCATTGTTATATTGTACAATAGTTACAGTGAAACAATTCCCTTGATTATCCAAACTTATTCAATGTTTCCTATAACATTAGACTAAACAAGGATGTACTGTAGATAAGATGTATCTTATGGGTAATTTAGGCTCTGAGACAGCAAGATACTTAGGCACATGTCTATGGATTTCAAATTGGACTACTCAAATGCTTTAAAGGATAGGTATGGGTTTATGTACTTTGCTGAATTGGGGCCTTAGTTAGAACCATTCTCCTTCATCAGTGAGAAACTATACATAGCCATGATTAATCCTTGACTCCAAAGATCTGAGGATCCCTAGAATAATTGTTCATAGCAATTTACATCAGTGCATCCTTTCTGAAAACATGACATTCAAGTTACAATGTCCACAGTTTGTGCTAAACTAAATGAGTGATGACTATGAAAATAAAATAATGAAAAACATTAAAATGAGCATTTGCAGTTAAAAACAAAATCTCTGGAGAAAAGGTGGCATTCAAATTCTCTGCCAGTTTTTCATTTACTGTAACAATTACTTACTTGGGATCTACATTTGAGAAATTCAAGAAATCAGCTCCGTTGGAGTGAAAATATAATTCACCTTTAGTAGGCCACCACATAATGTTTCCCAGAACTGGCAAACATTGCAGTTGATTGTTTGTGTGCCAATCCTCAGTGCAAGTGCTGAAAATTCCTTTTCTGATTAGAATGCATTGCTTAATGAGAAATGTAGAGGCATAAAACCAGATCATTTGCATCTAGACAGCATGCTGTAGCTAAATTATCTTAATTGAACAAAAACCTTATTACAATACAAACTCCGGGATGTTTGTTTAAATTGATTTGAATAAAGTTTGTTTTAAACAGATTATACTTGAACTAGTTTTTGATTCCTGGAATTTTTCAAAGTAAAACCCAACAAGCTAAAAGCATAGAAAATATTCTTTTTCTTTAGGTGCGTACTGAAACAATTTATCACTTTATAAAAGGCATCATTGTACACTGACCATTAAAATGTGTTGTGAAATTTAAATGGATCCCTGTGAAATTTGCCATTTGGTTCAGTGAAAAAATTGTAGTTTTTCCTCATTAAAACAGCTTTAACAATAGAGATATTAGTTTAGCCTTTCTGGGCAATGGCTTACTTAACTGTTACTAACTTAGGACAAACAGTGCATACCCTTGAGGATAAAGAAATTAAGATTCAGTTTGGGAAAATATAAATATTAAAAAAATATATTAAATCTGGGGGAAATAATCTAAAACACAAGGCAGGGATGGTCTCTTTTCTGTTTTTATACAGCACTGAGCACAATGGGGACCTAGACCTTTGGATGCTATCACTTGCTCAGCCCCATTGTTTTCAAATTATGTCTTCAGTAACATCTGTATAGTTCCACTGCCTTCAGTGAGTTTACACAAAAGATTGGAATAAAGTAAAGAATTTTATTGATTCAGGAGGAGGAATTGCATCCACATATCTCTCGGTTTTTGGCTCTACAAGGCTAGCAGGAGTAAAGAATCATCAAATTTTGGTTACTAAAGCCAGCAAATATATGACTCATTACATGTAAGGAGAAGATTGTTTAGCATAAAGGTACCATTTTACATAGTCACACCACACTTTTACTTTATTCTGTCCTCTATCTACAGAGGCATAGTGTGAGCATAGTGCAAACATCCTCCAGTGAGGACACTGTGGTTTAGCCTTACACTAGCAGGATCTGCTCTGGGAGGAAAGTCTAGTTAATACTTCATGGTTTAATCCTTCATCTCTTTGATTATGACGCCAACAATGGCACCAGGTGTGAGAATGGTTTTGTGATGTGAACACCTGGGTATGGAATTGAGGATCAGTACACATTTCACAGAGATCCGTTCATGAACAGCCACGTGGCAATACGTTTGATCACTACTGGTAAAGATTGGAAAACTTCTTACTGGTCATTTATTTTATGCAAGCAGTCTAACCCCACAATTCTGGGCATCTGGGCTGCTCTTCCAACGTGGATCACATTTTGGCACTGTACTCTCTGGCCACGTCCCCTCTGCTTCTCCTTGCCATCATCCAAGTTATTCCCAAGATGTAAAACATGCATATTATTAACAAATATTCCAGAGACAATGAAATAACTACACTAGACCAAGAATACAGTAGAACCTCAGAGTTACGAACACCTTGGGAATGGAGTTTGTTTGTAACTCTGAAATGTTTCTAACTGAACAAAACGTTTTGGTTGTTGTTTCAAAAGTTTACAACTGAACATTGACTTAATACTGCTTTGAAATTTTACTATGCAGAATAAAACGTTGCTTTTAACCATCTTAATGTAAATGAAAAATACAGAAACAGTTTTGTTACTTTGTCAATTTAAAAAAAAAACAACAAACTTTCCTTTAAATGTAAACTACTTAAAAATAAACAAACAGTACTGTGTTGTATTTGACTGGGGGGGGGGGGAGGGGGTGTCTCTGCTGCTGCGTGACTATGTACTTCTGATTCCAAATGAGGTGTGTGGTGGACTGGTCAGTTTGTAACTCTGATGTTCATAACTCCGAGGTTCTACTGTATCTGACCTGTAGCTCAGCCGCCATTTAGGGTGGGTAGAATTGTGGGAGACGCTGCTTGCAAAAAGGAAATTTTCGGTAAGAAGTTTTCTGTTCTGCAGCCCAGTGTCTCCAACAGTTCTGGATGTCTGGAAAGTAGCAAGCAATGATCATATGTAGGGAGGATTATGAAATGAGTTTTGTACAAAAGTACCACCGCTTTTTTATGTATTTGTTTAAAAAGTCCATATTATTTCTGGGCCACTGACTGCAGCATCTTCCTGCCAAAGAAGTATTCTGCAGAAGATAGAAAGTCCACATTGAACTGCTTAGCTGTAGGCCAAGTGGCCACTTTGCAGATTTCCAAAGTGGATGCACTTGCATGCTCCGCCCATGAGGTTAAGGATCTTGTGGAGTTCACCTTGATCCCTTCTGAGACAGGAACGTCAGATGGTTTGTAGGCTTCCACAATACATAGTCTAATCCACCTAAATATGGGGGACTTGGAAACGCTAAGTCCCTGCCATTTTGAGTGGAAGGACACGAATAGAGAGGCTGATTTTCTAATGGTTTCTGTACTCGAGATAAATAACAGAAGAGCTTTGAAAATCTAAGAATTCTGGTGTCCTTAGCACCACCTTGTCTTCATGAAACACAAAGTAAGGATCCTACTTAGAGAAGGCTGCCAGCTCCAACACTCACATAATAGACATGACAGCTACTAAGAAACAAGTCTTAATGGATAAATAAAAGGCTGACACTGAAGTCAAAGGTTCAAAGGGATGGCCTGTCAGGTTCTCAAAATCAGCAGAAACAGTGGTCTGACCACTGGTCTCGCTAATCAAACTGCTCGACACAATCTGGCTATCTGTGGATTGTCTTCCAAGGAGCCTCAGGATCCTGCAAATAGCACACTACTAAGAGCAGATAGCTGACATGCAACTGTACTGTGCTGAAAATCTCTGTCTGTGCCTTCGTGGAGGATGTCCAGAATGGTCAGAATTCCAGGTTTTGCATTGGGGTCGTCCAGAATCTGGACTAGATAAAAAGTATGCTTTTAATGTTGATACTATCCTAGATGAAAGCAGTGTCTTAATCTCTCTGGAGGAGTTAACTGACCCAGGGAGGAGGAATAATGTTGAAGAAAGAGAATGCTGCTCCCCCTGCCCAAAAACTGAGCAGAAAACCCCCCCTAAAAGTAGAAGAGTCAGGGTGGGAGCAACAGAAACTGCCACTGTCTGCTGCTGCAAAGGCAGAGTATCTGGTGGCAAGCAGGAACAGAGGATGTGTGGCCAGAGCGTGGAGTGCCAAAACACTGATTCACCTCCATGAAGCTA